TCTGACCTATTTAACTAAACAAGCTTATAAAAAAGCATCAGCCTTTTCTATCTAAAAAACTTGGTCTATGTAGGCTTGGTTGTAACCCCCTGTTATTCCCACCCCTACTATTAACCTCTCCCCCATTTAGACTATTTTATTACTCCATATTCTCACCCAACAATTGACATCAAGAGATGGTCTTTTGATTAAGTCTAATCGACTCTAATTTTTTTGAGAATATTTCAGACGATGACGATCCAAAGGGAACATACAATAGAGCACCATTTTTTAGAGGTGGATATTATACTTATTGGAAATCGATCATAAACGTACACTTATTATCAATTGAAAAAAAATGTGGTGTGCCGTCACCAAGAGACCATTTTTCCCTATGGGTGATGATGGAGTTGTAAAACACCTAAAAGATTGGAATTATGATGAATCCAAAAAGGATTCATATAATTTTAAAGCGAGAAATATAATTATCTCCGCTTTAAGCGCGGAAGTATTTTATGATATATCACATCATACAAGTGCCAAAGATATGTGGGGCGCTCTCCAAACTCTATATGAGGGAACAAATGATGTCAATGATGAATATTTTGATCCGTGAACTCTTTATTTTGTTGAGTTTGAGACAAGACAAAGTTCTCTATCATTAGTTCTAAGTTTGACTTTTTTAGGGGCAGCGGGAGCAACATGGGCTCCTTTTTTATTTTGGAAACCTGAAGGAGTAGTAGGTACATGACTGGGTGCAAACATGGCATTTTATTTTTGTAGAAGAAATTAGGGTAATTTCTTCATCTAGGGTTATACGTGTTGGAATACGGATTTCCTTGTTGCGTATCTGGCCTGGTTAGGGGTTGGTTTAGCTAAAAATTGACACTCAACAATGAGGTGTCCTATGACTCCACATATCTCACACTGGGGAGTTGCTGCAACCACGATGGTTGCGGGATTGATACTAAGATTATCAATTTTATAAGGGCATCGACTTTTCCATTCATATGACTAAAGTTGCTAATTTCATGCATACCTCCCTTCAGTTGCATTTTCTCTACAGGAGGGTGTTTGCTCCCCCACTGATAATGGTTCTGGGCCATATTATCGATGGGTTGGTAGGCTTCTTGGAAGGGTTTGTCCACCGAAGCTCCTCTCGCAGCGACATCAACAGTCATTCTTGTATTGTAAAGAAAACTGTCGTAAAATGTATGAATTATTAACCATTTTTCTAACATGTGATTCAGACATGCTCTCGTCAAGTCTTTGTATCGCTCTCATGCTTCAAAGAGAGATTCATTGTCGGTCTGTCTGAAACAGGTAATTTGGTTTCTTAACACTATTGGTCTGTCTGAAACAAGTAATTTGATTTCTTTAACGGCATAGACTGTAGTCAAGCTCTGACCCTGTCTCTTAGGAAGAAAGGAAATAAACACAACTGAATGGCTTCAGGGTCAACGCTATTACTTTTCAACGTGTCAGCGAATTACACAAACACTGAAAAGTGCACATTCGGGTCCTCAGTTGGATTTTCGCCTGATTGATTATGCTGGTCGATTTACACCCGAAAGACTTTAAACTCAAAGTTTTTAGCCTAAATTACAGGATTGATAATGGTTGAGTGTGACTCGTCCTAGATTGCAGGATTAACAATGCTTGACATCAATTGCAATGATCATTCTAATGTAATGTATACTATTTCCACTAGCCAATTTCAAATCAAAATATTACTAGAACAATGAGTGAACAATAACTTCATACTTTCAAATATATTCTTATTCATGAGTTTTTTTGATAATTGTGATCTTCCTGAATTTGAGGAAGATTGGGAACAACCTGAATTTGGGGAAGATTGTGAACTTTTAAACATCCGGCAAACATTCTCTTATGATGATTGTAATAGTGCATATCATATTCTTCCATAAATATATTTTTTTACTCAGTTGATTCATGGAAACACTTTATTGAATGTAATGAACATGTTATTCATCATAATATTATTTCATAAGTATATGAAAATGTTTTCATCTTTATGTAAGGATAATATCTTCTTGGTCAATCATCCTCAAAATATTTAGTTGGTGCAATACTTGTCATTTCTCTTGGTGCAATAGATATTCAAAGCATGCAACACAAAACTCATTGTGAGTTGTCACATAACCTCAAACAAATTCTTGCGTAGATCCTCTTGTGACTCTAGTTCTTTCATTGTTAAGTATGCAATGCACTTGTTGATATGAGTGGCTTCTAAATTGTGATTTGTGTTCTTTCAACAAAAACTCAAATACAAGCAGTAGTAAATCACTATTGATAAAACTTTTATATTTACTTCTTAAGGTTTTTCATAGTTACAACATATATTAAAAAGGTTTTTGGCTGAACCATATATTTTAAATCATTTTAAATGTAGAAGTATGGGATAAATTCATCTCCGGAAGAAAACAAAACTTGGGTTTCTATCCTCTTTTTCGAGTCCCCAACAATTGACCATAGTCATTCTTCTCTATGTCTGCTAAATTAATTTATAGAATAAACTAATATAGTTTAAAAGTTAGAAAATGCGAGTGTACGAAACATATCAAAATTAATTGTTGAAGAAAATTAAAGATGTCTTAAGCCTGACTGAAACATAATAATAACGTCATTGCAACGGTTTAAAAATTAGTAGTTTCATGTTGGCAGGGCTTCTTAATGTAGGACATACATTTAATTACTTTCTCAAAGACCTCTAGACACTATCATGTGATCTCTTGAGAACCTTAGTCTCCAACAAAGAACTAAGTCAAGAACAATAAATATGCACAATTCATAAACAGTGTTTTAGTTTATGGATGATATTTCTCAAAATTCTTCACGTAAGACATCAACATTATGTGATCAATGTGAAGATAAGATAACACGTACCATGTTTGAGGCATGTCTGAAAAGAAATGAGTAGGCATAGTACAAGCAGTTGGTTTAAAATTGGCCTTTCATTCAGAAGGTGGGGTTTACACCCTTATTGAACTTATTGATCCTTGACAGAGGCATCTAAGACAACACCATGTGATCTCTCATCTCATGTCCCCCATCATTCAAAAATCATTTCTCTAGCAAAGGGATTTCAAGAAAATCTTGGAAACTATAAATATAGTGCCCTCCTTCACAACCATCACAAAGCTCTCAAGCAAATAAACTCAGATACATTTTTCTTACATCAAAGAAATTCAGCTTTTTCTTCAAACATTTGAAATGGGTTTCCTTTTACCTGCTGCTATTAGACGGTCTTCACATCGCAATATCAAAACATCATCAAAAGTATCAAATGTGCCCAAGGGCTATTTTGCAGTGTACGTAGCAGAGGAAATGAAGCGGTTTGTCATCCCCCTTTCATACTTGAACCAACCTTTATTTCAAAACCTGTTGAGTCAAGCTGAGGAAAATTCCGGATATGATCATCCGATGGGCGGCCTCTCAATTCCTTGCAGAGAAGATGTTTTCTTGGATATTACTTCTCATTTCAATAGCCTATAAATCTTACACTAAAGGAGACTGGCATAGATTAGCATAGAAATTTTGTACAATAGTCATCATTTAGATTTGTATAGATTTTTTTCCTTTTCCTATCCTTGGAACGGGTTAGAATTGTCCGTCTGAATGACAAATTCAGGAAGAGATTATTTGTTATTACTTATTCCTAATCATAATGACACAATATATTCGACAACTCAATGGACTCCTATCTGCTTCTATTTATAAGCTATAAATACAAACATAGTTTTCCTTGGTTTATTATAATGATGACATAAGGGTACTACATGCTGTAACCAAAACCTAGCTCGAATGTTTCTGCGAATTTCTCAAACCTAATAAAACATTCACACAGACTCTAATAGTTGATAAGCTATATCTTGTATCTAAGCTCACGAGTCACGTGTTCACATGTCTTGAGCTTTCTTCATCTAAGCAGAGCAATATTTATGCTATAATATATAAGAAAGCTCCTCCGACTATCACCGATTTGTTTAGCACATGATAGAACATTGGAAGTAGGTCAGTAGAAGTGAAATGAAAATGAAAAAAAAGAAACATACCGATGATTTTGTATGTTGCGTTTCTCGTTTGATGTTTAACGAAAGTGGTAGAGACGGCAATCGCAAGGACTTTCCTGTGCACTCAATCAGCGGTAGCACTCAATTAGCGGCAACCCTTTACTTAAAGCTCCTAGCATCCTCCAGCATTCGTAAAAGTGTATATTATTATGTATTTTCCTAATCAAAAGATTATGATGAACTGCTTGCATTTGGAGTATTCAGTTTACATTTAGTAAAGAGACAAAGGAGACAATAAAAATTTCAGGTCACATGTTTCGGGGGCTGAACTGCATGACTAAAGAGAGTCTGCAGAGAGCATGTATTAATATCATAGGCGCAGAATTAGTTAGATTTTAAAACAGAAGCCAATCCCATAAAATTATGAAAAGTCTCCCAATAACTGTTCAATTGCTATCTATCTTGTGGTGAGCATGACTAATGACCAATCCCTCTATATGTGTTCCGTGTAGCCTCCTAATATTAATGATTTGTAGGCAACAAACGATTATAATCCACCTAATATTAATGATTTGTAGGCAACTAACGATTATAATCCACCTAATATTAATGATTTGTAGGCAACTAACGATTATAATCCACGGTAACAAGAGTAGCTATATATGGGTATTGAACCGCGTTATCGATATGAAGAGAACATGTGAGATGTCTAGTACAAAAGTATGAGTAGCAATTTGACTTCAGAGTGGTTAATCTGCTAGGCTTTCATTGAGAAAGTGGGGTATGCATATGCAGTGTAATTGAACTTGATGGAGAGACATTAAAAGACAATACCATGTGGATCTCTCATGTCATGGACAGCATTCTTTAACAATAATGAATTTCTGTTTGAAGAAACTGTTGAATGAAGAGTATAAAAATACACAAGTTTCCTTGACATCCATCACAAATGACTTACTTAGTGAAGCATCAAAAGATAGTGATACCTTAAATCTTGAGAGCTTTAGCTTGTTTGTTCTTGAAAACATTTGAAATGGGTTTCCATTTACCTGCAGCTATAAATAAGACGGGCATCATTTAGCAATAGCCAAACATCATCAAAAGTGACAAATGGGTTTTCTGGAACACAGAATTCAATTGATAGCTATGATGTGGTGAATTTGCATTTGATTTAGACAGAAACACAGAATTCAATTGAAAGCTTAGGAATTTGATGTTTTCTCTAACACAGAATTCAATTGAAAGCTTAGGAATTTGTTGTTTTCTCTAACACAGAATTCAATTGAAAGCTTAGGAATTTGATGTTTTCTCTAACACAGAATTCAATTGAAAGCTTAGGAATTTGATGTTTTCTCTAACACAGAATTCAATTGAAAGCTATGATTTAGACAGAAGAAAGTATAATAACCAAATCAGAAAAAGAATTTACAAAACCCTAAACGCAAAATCATAGACAGAAGAAAGTATAATAACCAAATCAGAAAAAGAATTTACAAAACCCTAAACGCAAAATCAAAGAGAATACGAACAAAAGCCTAAACTAATAACAAAGAGAAGATGAAACCCTAGTAATGTCTGAACGGAAAAAATCGCAAAAAAATTTGGACCATTTCTCGATTTGTGCGTGTCATCCTTGCGCAGGGGCCATGCTAATCTTCTCTGTATCGTTCCAATTTTATCGGATGTCCCCGAAGGGACGAACTGATATGACTTAACTGTGTTATATAAACGCTTCAATATTAAATTAAGTAGTCAATGTGGGACTAAAAGCAAGTAACCTGCAAATACTAACTTCTCAACATTCACTTCCCAAGCAAACGTCTCCCTCTCCCTCTAAGTCAGTTGAGTTTCAGATTCTCCCTCTCCCTCAAACTCTCGTACCATACCATACAAGCATAGTTGACACCTATTTGTTTATTTTTCTTAATTGTTTCTTGTATAGTTTTTGAATTGATTGATGACAATGGAGTGTTGATGCAATGATGCTAATATCTGACACAATAACGGGTTTACAAGATTAGCAGTATAAGACCAAAATTACTTACAAAATGTATTAGATTTGAAAAATATACTCCTTACAATTTTAAGTAACACGTGTGCCCATAACTACCATCACACCATCGAAACGTACCGTTTCCCTTAGGAAAACCATCTTCCCAACAACCATCATATCTATTCCCATTTTGCCACATCAAAGTACCATTTCCATTACACAAACCATTCATCCATTGACCAATGTAATTATTCCCATTCTTCCATTGATACCTCCCATGTCCATTTTGCAACCCCTTCTTCCATTCACCATCATAGAAATCACCATTACAATAACTCTGTGTCCCTTGTCCATTTCTCATATCCATAACCCAAAAACCTTTATAAGTATCACCGTTAGAACCTATATAAGTACCTTTACCATCCATAAAACCATTTTTGAAATCACCTTCATAGGTAGCACCACTGGGCCAACTAAACCTACCTTTACCTATGATATTACCCTTTTGCCATTCACCTACATACATACAACCATCTGTCCATAGATACTTACCTTGACCATTTGGAAAACTGTTCAGCCATTGACCTGTATAGAAATCACCATTGCTGAGAATCTTCTCAACCTGGTACAATATTGACAAAGCATTTTGACAAAAAAAAAATCAAAAGCATTTAAACAATGGGAATGAAACAATTAAAAAATCAAAAAAATCTGTGTTACCAATTTAGTAAAGTACATTAACCTAGAGGGAAATCTAAAATGTTGTCCATAGTTACATTTTTGCCGCTGTTTCATCACTGGTTGTTTCTCTTCAAATCTCAAAATCAAATCTAATGCACAAAATCTATCAACCCAAGAGAAAAGAGAACAAAACAAATGCTCTGATTCCAAAAGCTACCTTTGAGCAGTAAGAAAAGTAAGAAATATAATACCTCAATGAAACAAAATTTCATAAATATCCAAAGGTCAAACACCATGAACAAGCATGGATGAAGATGAAACACAGTACAAAGATTTGAGAGACAAATGAAGAACCATGGGATGAACAACGTGGAGAATTGTGCTGATGAACGAGAGTAGCAAACGAACAATGTGTAAGTGAAAATATAAAAAAGAAACTGAGGGAAAAAGAAACTATTACATACTAAGAGATTAAGAAGAATGTATTTTCATTGGTATGTAGTAACATTTGATTTTCCCGGTGTTACTGAAAGTGTCAAATAAGGAGTGTCTGCAACATTTTCTTAAACGTTACAGATAAAATGTTGCAACATGTCATACATATAGTAGTGTTCTTCTGGTAAGAATCAAATGATATTCTCACATGTAACTGAATACAACTATCTTACATGGATGACAAACACAAGCCTGTCGGTTTTATAAAACAAAAATGTTTAAAATTGCCTCGCCTTAGCCCGTATTTTCCTAATCAAGTAGTCTTCCAAACCAATGCCAGCATCCACAATTCTAGTATCACCTTTAATTTCAATCTTAAGAACTTCCTCCAAAACAGCACTAATTTTCACACCATCCTCCTCCACTTCACATATTTGAGGTACTACAATCATCCAACTATCCTTATGAGGAGCATCCCCATGCTCTAGCGATTTCGAGAGAACTCCACAGGCTTCCTCAATCCTACCAACATTGCAAAACCCATTCACCAAAGCATGGATGACAGCAAAGTGTGGAGAAAAGCCTTTACAAAGCATTTCCTCCACATACTCCCTTGCCTCATCAAGCATTCCCAAATGACACAAACCATTAACCAAAGTCCTATAAGAAACCAAATTCGGCAGACACCCATTAGCCCGCATATCATCGATAACCTTACAAGCATCATGAGCTCGTCCTTCTCTACAAAACCCTAATATAACCGTATTATAATGAACAATATCAGGATTACACCCTTTGACCTTCATCCTACAAAGAAGCTTATAAGCCTCCCTAAGCTTCTTCTTCCTACACAAACTATTCAACAAAGTAGTATAAGTCAAAGAATCAGGAACAAGCCCTTTATTCAACATATCCTCGAAAAGATCAACAGCTCCATTAACTTGACTCTTCCTACACAAAGCCTGCATCAAAATCCTATAAGACTCAACATCAGGAACAACATCTCTCTTAAACATTTTGTTAAACAGCATGTATGCAATACTGATATCACCATTAAAACAAAAAGCCCGCATGAGAATATTATAAGATCTAGTATCAGGAACCACACCATGTCGATGAGCATCCTTAAAGAGATCGAAAGCGGGGCGAAGGAAACTCCGGCGAGAAACGAGAATTTGAAGAATGCGGTTAAGGTGTTTGGTTAAAGGTTTGATATTGAATTGAAGCATGGTGTAGAAAGTGTTGAGGGCTTTGTCGGGTAAATTAGCTTCGCCGTAGATTTTGATTAGGTAAGAGAAGAGGGTAGGGGTGATGGGTTGGGAATCGGATTTGAGTTGACGGAGGAGATTTTCGAGGAGGGAGAAGTGTTTGGAGCGACCGAATTTGAGGATGAGGATGAGGTAGGTGGAGTAATTGTGGCGGAAGTTGGGTTGGAGAGAAGCGTAATCGAAGATTTCTTTGGCGAGAAGAGGGTCTGATTGGGAAGCGATGAGTTTCTGGACTCTGGTTGGAGAACCAATTGGGGAAGATGAAGAGTCGTGGTTGTTGTTGGTGGAGGAATGGAATCGGTGTTGTACTGATGAAGAAGATGATGTGAATAAGCCATTTGAAGCAATGGTTCTTAGGTTTTTTGATAACACTGTAAACGATCGGTGCATCGCTTTTGAAGATAACAAGGACTCAAGCAATACATTTTGTAAGTAATTTTGGTCTTATACTGCTAATAGTTTATGGGTCATTTTAATATTGTTTTTTTTTATGGGATTTGAACTACAATATTGAAATCTTTAGGTTCTTTTTGCATGTGTTGACACATAGTTTTGTTCAGGTCCGCACATGATTTAAATTTTACACTAATGTGTCGGCACACGTGTCAATGCTTGACATTTCGTGTCGGCACATACTATTGTTTGAGTCAAATTTTTCATTTTTTTTTAATTCTGAAGTTTTCCTCTTTGCAACCAAAATTCCACAACTATAAATACATCAATTTCGTGTTATGTTAATCAATTTCATTAGTTATTCATATTTCGTGTTATCTTAATCAATTTGGTTACTTATTCATATTTCGTGTTATCTTAATCAATTTGGTTACTTATTCATATTTCGTGTTATCTTAATCAATTTGGTTACTTATTCAGATTTTGCTTTGGAACACTTTCAAATTTGGCTATCGCTGAAGAACCCGACGTTGTTGACGTTAATCGGAAGCGTCGTTGAACCCGGTGGCGATTTGGTATAACTAGAATGTGTTGGGGCTATCGATTTGGTTATGTTTATGTCTATTTATGATATGTTGCATTGATTGTCGATGATTGTTTCTCAAACCTCTTTCTGGATTTTTGGTTTTGGCTCAGAGAATGGAAGTGATGGGGATTATCCTCCAGTTTCACAAAGTTCATGTAATCCTTATTTTGTAATGGCGAGTCTGCGAAATAAACCAGCTCTTGTTAGGCGATTCAATCCACCAGATAGTTCTTCTGCATGTATGTTTCAAATTCTTACCATCAAGACTTTCATCTGTGTGGTTTTTATCTACAAATTTCTGGAAGATTGATTAATATACTATCATTGTGTTTTTAAGCTTCATCCATTTCTCCTTAAGCTTCATTCATTGATTGCAACTTGATAATCACCTGAATCAACAGGAAATGTCCGTCTTGATGATGATGGTTGGTTCAATCCATCGTATTCACTTGGAGCAACCATCGTCCGTGAAGTGGAAAGAGCCTTCTCCAAATCTAACTGCGACAAACGTCTAGGTGCCCATGGATGAGTATCCATGTGGATGAGAAGGGGACTATGAAGTTTGTTGTTCATTGTTTCTTGGAGACATATGTATTTAATAATATTTTTTCCTAATAAATCTTTATTGCATACAACTTGCATTTAACTGGATATGCATTTTTAGTGGTATAAAAATATATTTCATAAATTATTTTATGCGTAAATTATTTTTAAATAATATTACTTTTTTTTACTGAAAATTAATTTTAAAATATAAACTAATTATATACATTTCTCTAATCATATTTTTTAATTAGGATGATTTAAAAATTAATGACATTACATTAAAAAATAATAAAATATAAATAAATATAATAAAAAGTGATACCAAAATATATTTAAAATAGGTTTAATAAAAAAAATTTGTCAAAAAATTTAGTTTATCTAAAATATAAAAAGCTATATTTAAATTTTAATTTCCAATTTTATTTGATTCACGAAAATATTCTCTTTATTTTAAATTTAAAAAGTTTTGGTCCGCTCTCACGTTTTTAATGGAAATTTGATGATTTTATTTTGTTTTTTAACTTAAATTTTTATTTATAAAATTTTACAATAAATTTATATATGATTTTTTTTTTGGAGATTAGATTATAGGTTTGATTTTAATCTTCATGTTGAATTTGCATAAGTATATTTACATAGTTTACTAACTTTTGACGGGGTACTCTCATACATTTTAGATTTGTAAAGTTTGTAAATATGATCTAATAAGAAGGTTTTAAAATTGAAATTTAACGAGGAACTGTCATACATTGTAGTGTGTAAAAAAATGTAAATATGATATAATAAGAAAGTTTTAAAACTGAAATTTGACGGGGAGCTGTCATACATTTTAGGTTTGAAAAAATGGGCTAATATTTAAAATATGTTTAATAAATTTTTAGAATTAACTCATTTAGATTCAACCGGGGTTTGTTAACTCATTTGGATTCACAGTAGATATGAACGTATCTATGAGATACCAATTGTAGACGGTTCATTTTAATGTCCATCTTTTAAATCTTTCTTTATTGTTGTTTTATATAATTGAAGTTAGATAATCGAATGTACGGTTTGTTATAAGTACATACAAATGCTTAAAAGTTAGTGTATATTATTAGTCTATGTTTGTGACTATGTGAAAGTTAACCAATTGAGAAATGATTCAAACTATATAAATGATGATTTGATAAACGTGTAATGTGAATCCAGATGAGACCCATGCGATAGCACGTATTTCTTACTATTTCTCATTTCAATGCTTGGTGGTGACGAGCTAGCAAAGACTTACGACACAATTTTATTGAGACGAATCGAGGCAATTTTAACAATCTTAAAGGATAAGCTTAAATAAATTTAAGAATGAAGGAAATTATGCTCGCCATGAGAATCTGTGCATCTCTGACACATTCGTGTGATACAACTAGCAAAGACTTAAGAGAATGCTAAATCTAAATTCTCAAGTCAAGGTAAGCTATACAACTCGCGATGCAAAAAAAATGATTTTGACACCCACGTTCTTAATTTTTTTCTCCGCGTTAAACATATAATTAATCTTTTGATTTTAAAATTTTAGGAATAGATTTTTTTTACTTAAAGAACCTATAATAAATATGTATGCAATTTCTAATTGTTAGAAATAGTGTTAGGTTTACAACCTATTTTCGGTCCTCCGAATGGACCAACATGAAATGCCCAAAGAAAAATATGAAGGGAGTGAACGCAAGAAACATGTTTTCCCATCATTTTACCCAAGGTAGACAACTTCACACTCTGATGCATCACCTACCATCCAGATCAATCAGGCGATTTCCCGTATAATGTGTCGCGTCCATCTCGGGCTATTTTAATTGCACTTGTATATAAAGAGACTGGCACACCGTTCTCACGTATTCAAATTCATTTTCATT